CAAATTTTCAAAATCTCCAAAACGCCCAAAAGAGAGAGGGGGGGGGGGGGAGAGAGATAGATAGAGATAGATAGATAGAGAGAATGAATATGCAGCAAAAGTCAACCTATCAGCCCCAGTCTTTCAGTGTTTTCCTCTTAAGCAATGCCGACTAGAAACACACATTTACCTAAGGGGGGGAAATGTGCTCTGATCTTTATGAAGAATTCTTCTCTCTTGCAAGTCTAGAACTCTGGTCATCCAACATGGTAACAATTCCTTTTCGCCCTCTCTCTATCCTGCACAAGCCCAACTCTGGGTCCCTTCTCTTCTGTACCGCTTCCCTGGTTGCCCACTGATCCAAAGAAGCCGCTCCGTCCTCAACGGCCCACCGAGCTCCCTTCTCATCTCACTTCCAAGTCCCGCCTTCAGCCAAGGCTTCCCTGGAAAAATTAAGCCTCCTCTTGGCTGTGCCTCTCTTCCACCCATCACTTCTCTACCCCCTAAACCCACAACACACCTCTCAGTCCATGGTTCACGTGGCACCAGTGTTCCCTCTAAGCTGAGTTAGTGTGAGCCAGCTCACAGTTTTTTAGCCTCCAGCTCACAGATTTTTGTCTTAGCTCAGGAAGGATAAGAAGAGAAGAAGAGATTGGATTTGTACCCCACCCTTCACTACCCAAAGGTGTCTCAGAGCGGCTTACAAACTCCTTTCCCTTCCCCTCCCCACAACAGACACCCTGTGAGGTGGGTGGGGCTGAGAGAACTCTGACAGAAACTGCTCTTTCTCAAGGACAGCTGTGCCAGAACTTGTGACTGACCCAAGGCCACATCAGCAGGTGCAAGCGGAGGAGTGGAGAATCAAACCCGGTTCTCCCAGATTAGAGTCCACACACTTAACCACTACACCAAACTAGCTCTCAAGGATAGCTCCAGATCAAACAAATTTATGCAGCAGCCACATCGCTCGCTCACAACTTTAATGCCAGTCGCTCACAAAGTAGAATTTCTGCTCACAAGACTCCACAGCTTAGAGGATTGGTTGGCACCACTCTTATCTCGGGCAGAGCCCATGTCACCTGTATATACAGTATACGGCCTCTTAACACACTGGCAGTATGAAAGAAGCACGCCAGAGACGGCAGTTTCAGAGGGTAGCCATGTTGGTCTCGTCAGGTGTTGCTGGATCCAGACTTGAAAGTGAAGCCGTCGCTCCTCCATCACCCCATCAGCGAAAGTGCAAAATGCCGTTCAGCTTTACTCCTGTGGAAGCCCCTGAATGCCTCAAATGAATTCTTCATGCCGTACAAAACCTCGCTTATGGAATTCACTGCCACAAGCTACGGCCACTAGTTTTGCACCCGGCTGCAATGTTAACGTACAAATGCATGCAACAAAATCCAGACAGTTGCATCTACCGTGTTTCCCCGAAAATAAGACACTGTCTTATATTTATTTTTTCTCAAGAAGACACACTAGAGCTTATACCACAAATGCATAGAAATCCTGCTAGGGCTTATTTTTTGGGTAGGTCTTATTTTCGGGGAAACAGGGTAGTAAGGAAAAGCGACTGGGACAGGGTGAGAGATTCAGAGCAGAGAAGCAGGGCTTTTTTTGTAGAAAAAGCCCAGCAGGAACTCATTAACATAATAGGCCATACCCAACAGCAGAGATCCATTAGCATATTAGGCCACACCCCTGACAGCACAGCCCATTAGCATATTAGGCCACACCCCACATGTTACCAGAAGTGTGGTCATCCAACCACACCCACCTTTTGCTTCTTATTCTGTTTACTTTGTTGTCAAAACCCTGGGCTTTTTTTGTAGCAGGAACTTCTTTGCATGTTAGGCCACACACCCCTAATGTAGCCAATCCTAATGAGTTTCTCCTGTTGGGTGTGGCCTATTATGCTAATGAGTTCCTGCTGGGTGTGGCCAACTCAGGAGCCAGCCGGAACTCCGTTCCTGTGCGTTCCTGTCCAAAAATAGCCCTGCAGAGAAGTATCCTCTCCACTTGGGGGGGAGGATTCAGATGGACATCGGCGGGGCAAATACGAAGCTAGGATCTTTGTGAGGGGGAAAACGGGGGGGGGGGTATCAGGAGAAAAGCTG